CAATGGGGGGGAAAATACGAAATAAAAGAAATAAGGCGAGGTTTCGTCATCAACTACTTACTGCCCCGCGAAGAAATTTTATTTTATAACGAGCAAAATCGGGAATGAGTAGAAAAACAAAAAGCCAAAAATCTTTTTTTAACCGCTCAAGCCCAAGAATTAGCGAAGAAAATCAGTAATTTTTCTTTGTCTTTTACTCTTAATAAAGACGAAAAAGATAAGGCCTTTGGTTCAGTCAGTAGCAAAGAGATTTTAGACCGATTAGCAGAAGCAGGGTTTAATTTACGAAAAAGTCAATTACTCAATTTTCACCCTCTTCACAGCATAGGAGAAAATTACGTAGTAATCAAAATACGAGATAACATAACTACACAATTAAAAGTGATAGTAAACTAAGAAGGGTATCCACGATGTCTGTGAAAGAAATCACGAGTGAAAAAGATAAGTCTTAGTCGTTCCAAATTTATCAACTACTGGATAATTGAGAAACAAAGTTGTCCGATTGGAAAAGTGAATTAAAGTTTTTTCCCAATTCAACACCTGCCAAAGTCAAGGAAAACGAAGGGAGAAGCGATGACTTAATAAAGGTTTTGAAAGAATTACGAACAGAAGAAGTTTAAAAAATTGTAAAATGGCATTGTAAAGATAAATCTTTACTTATTTTTAGTATGGTGAATACTGATCCCAATCGTTCTCTAGGAATAAGAGTTCAGCAAATGCTCGATAGTTATCCAGAAACAAAACAAAGACAATGGAAATGTTGCGGAAATTCTTATGATGCCTCGCAAATAATGAATCACTTAAATTCTGACCAATGTCTCAAAAGCAAGGAAAAGTGAACTATGATTCCCGATATTTGCACAGAAGGATGTGGTTTACCAAACAAAATATGATTTAAACGCTCTTTCGAGAGTGAGGTTGGATATGAATATAAATGCTCTTGTTTAGTTGAGAAATTTATTAAAGAACAAAATATCTCAAGAGTAGAATTAATAACAGAAACTCGGATGATTTTTGAATATAATAACAGCAAAAGAAAAAACGAAGTATTAGTAAACTCGACAAATTTAGAACTGGTCAGGGATTATTATAGAGACAAATATCAAAAAGAAGTAATAGCAAAACAAGAAGAGGAACAAAAGAAAATAAATAGATTAAGAGATGAAAATATTTTTGGTTGAACTGCAAAACATAAAATAGGTTGGTCAATTTTCTTTATTTTAGCTCCAACTGCTATTTACTTCATAAAAAAGCATTCTAAAAAACTTAAAAAAGAACAGCCCAAAAATTTAAAAGAGGAAATCCAAAATAAATTTAAACTATGGAGATTAAACATGGGGTTATCCGTGCTTTTTTACGCTGTTTCTTTTTATTTACTGCAACAATTCATCAATAAATGAATTAGACCTAATATTAAATGATGCCTAGAAAATCATGAAAACACAATCATTTTATCCGTGACGGGAATCTTAGGAGTTTTATTTTTAGCGGATAGTTATATATCTTCTGAATTAAAAACTCCCCTGCAAAGACTAGCTATCAAGATAGAAAATGCTGATATCGACGAAAAAGAGAAAAAAGAATTATTATCTAAAACTCAATGATCTAATGAGAATTTTAAAGAGACTTTAAAAAGATTTGGATTATTGACTATTGCTGGAACTCTCATTAAACTATTAGGAAAAGCCTTTGATGAAAAATTTATTGCTAATTTTTGTTATGTCATTCCGTTAGCCTTTGGTGGTTGACAAATTTGAGAGATTGGAAAAAAAGCAAAAAAAATAAAATAATAAAATTTTAATATGAAATACGAATCTTACCTAGCCTTCGATAAGGAAAAACCACAAAAGTCTTTTAAAGAAACCTTTCATGCTTTACTGGATAATGATAGTTTTATCCATTATTCCGATAAGATTCATAATGAAGGTGACACTAATTTAGGAGGCATTGAAGAAGCAGCCGGAGTAGGAATGGGAACAACAGTAGGAGCATATGTTGGATTAGTAGTAGGAGAAATAGTGACATTAGGAGCAGGAGGGCCATTAGGAGTACCTCCAGGAATGGGGATAGGCGGAGTAGTAGGTTGAGGAATAGGCAAAATAGCAAAGTCAGTAAAATATGACACTAAATGAGGTCATTATAAATGAAAAAATTTTTGTGGCTGATGTTGAGGATGTACTCACGAATTATTAACTCAAAAAAATACTTTTACAGTGAATGAATGAGTTTGTCCAGAAGATTGTAACTTGGTTTTACTATTAGAACTTATCGAAAATGGCGAAAAAGAAGAAATTCGAAATCAGAACCAAAAAACTTATCCTCTAAAAAAGAACACTGTTTATAATTTTCATTTCAATGATTTTAGTTCTGTTAGAATTGAAGAAATAAGAAACATTAAGACAACTTCTCGAAATTCTCTGCGTTCTTTGCAAACTTCTAACTTTGCTAATCTACGAGAAGAAAATATTACTTTGCGAGAAAGAATAACTCAATTAGAAGAAAGATTAACTCACCAAGAAGAACAAATGGCTCAAATTTTGCAAAATATTAACAAATTTTAATTAACATGGCTCATACCACTTGCCAAATTTGTGAAAAGAAAGTGTTTTTTTGTAAAGTTGATTTTGCCAAGGCTCATAGCAGGCAAGAACTATCTCCTGCTATCAAATGAGGAACTAAACAATCACCGATTATCTTATAAAACCAGTGGCTGGCAGCGGGGGCAAAAGAATGTGCTTCGTTCTTTCGGTTTTTTTTTATCGGTTTTTTCTTGGTTAATTTCTAATTTTTCAATTAAACTTCCACAATTGTTATGACAAGGTTTTCCTTTTCGATTATAGACTTTTAATTTATTTTGATAAGAACCTTCTTTGCTTAAAGGATTAACAAAATCAAACTCTGAAGTTCCTCCTGAATTCAAAGCCTCTTTTAAAATGATTTGAGCCGAACAGACTATTTTTTTTACTTCTGATTCAGTAAGTTGGTTAATTTTTTTTAAAGGATGAATTTTAGTGTCAAAAAGTATTTCTGAAGCGTAAATATTGCCAATTCCACTGATTATTTTTTGTTCTAATAAAGCATTTTTGATAGGAATTTTTCGTTTTTGGTAATGTTTGAATAATAATTCAGCATCCACTTTTTCATCCAACAAGTCAGTTCCAATATTTTTGTAAGGCTCCAATTCTTTATAGTCCTCAAAAGTTTGTAGGCGAAAACCCCCAAATCGGCGAGCATCACGGTAAGTTAACCTTATTGTTTCCAGCCCGCTTTCTAAATAAAAAGTTAAGCCTTTTGCACTTTCATTATTGTGCTTTTCAAATAATTGCTTTTGTTCCGGAGTAAGCAATTTTTCCTCTACAAAATATTTTCCGGTCATTCCTAAATGACTAATTAAAACATGAGTTTTGTTTTTTTCTTGGTCGGTAAGAATAAAAAACAATCATTTTCCTTTTCTTTCTATTTCATGGATAGTTTTGCCTGCTAATGAATTAACAAATTCCTCTTCGCTGATTTTTTTAATTAAACTTACTCGTTTATTTACTTCGTCTTTTGGCTTGTAAATTTCTACTTTTTGAAATTTTTTTCCAATTATCTCGGGTCTTAATATTCGGCGAACACTTTCAACTTCTGGCAATTCAGGCATTTAAAAGAATTTTAAACAAGTTAGTATATTTTTTAATGGTCACATAACTACAAGTCTACCCAGTTCCCAACTTCAATCGTTATTAATGGAGTTAGCGGAGATTAAGAAAGTTAGTGTTGACAATTTAAAGGAGTTTTTAGTTGAAAATCACAAACAGTTTAGCGTTCTTAATGTTTCGTTGAAAAGCATTGCTAGCACGAAACGAACCAATATCACACTAAGCAAAAACAGTGTTCGGTCATTTTATAAGCAAGAACCAAAAACTAGTCTAACCGAAAAAGTGCGAAAGTTGGAAAAAGACTTAAAAGATGATTGCTTAACCGACGCCCAAAATTGTGCTTACTTCAAATACTTCAACCGGAAAGAAAAGCGGTTATACATTAGATTTTTAGATAAAATTGAGGCTAATTTTGAAGGAACGGAGGCCAGACAACCTGCCCTTTTTCTCACTCTCACTTTTAACACTACGCAAGATAATTTATACGCTTTCACTACGAACGCCGACCCTAACCATGAATGCTGAAAACCACTGGAAAAAAAGGCACCTTGATTAAAAGATTGAGCCCAAAAATTTGACCCCACTTGCGAACCACGGAAAATTTTACTCCGCAAAATGCGGAAAGAAGACGTGAGTAATTTCCAAAAGGCCGGCCAATATTTAAGTAAATTTCTCCGCTCGGTGCGAATGAAATGAAAACCGCAAAATTGAAAATGAGCCGTGGTGGCCGAACTCCAAAAAAACGGAGTTTGGCATTTTCACTTAATCTCTACGCCTATCGTTCCTTACGCCCATAAATGTTGCCTAGATAAAAACTTTGCTTCGTGTTGGAATTGCCGTGGTTATCTACAAGAACTCTGGCCCTATGGCCGAGTAGAAAGCCGCAGCCCAGGTAAAAAAACTTTGGGGCAATACCTCGCTAAATATTTAGCCAAAAGTTTTCATCTCCGGTCGCTCTACCGAGAACACGGATTTAAAGAACATAACAAGGCTTACCGCTTTTTTAAAAATCTTTATGATTACGAGGAAAGAGAAACCGTTTTAATTGGTAGAGGCAAATTTGATAAAGAAACCAACCAAAGATTAAACGGCAACCAGCATTTATTCCGTCGTGCCGATAACACTTATTTTTACCGGACTAACGAGCAAAACATTGGCAGCGTCGCCCAGCCTTTACACTTAAAGAAAAATTTTCGTCTGTCTACTCCGCTCAACCCGGTTAACTTGGCGAAATTAGCCCGAAAAAACCAAAAGAAAGAAAGCCTAAATTTGAGTTTCGGCCGAAAGAAAAAGAAAATTTTTACTTACGATTTCCAAGAATTTTTAATTACTAACTTGTTAGCCTTATGCCAAAAAGCCGAGTTCAGTAAAGTTCCACTGGAAGCCGAACAAGTCCCCAAAGAAGGCGGGCAATGTGATAAAGCACTAGCCAGCCATTTTCAAACTAAATCCGTGCTAAATTTCACTTTCACTCCGGAGAATGCCGAACTCGCTCAACAATTTTTTAACCAGTTAGACGACTACGCGGAAGAATACGAAGCCGTGGAAGCCAAAGATTTTTTTCTGCCGCAAATTTCCGACCTGATTAAAAGCCGCAATTCTTACCTAAATATTTGAGAAAGCGATTACTTTATTCCCTGGAAAAGGGAAAATGTTCGGAGTTATTGGCACCCTAGTGATTAGCCAAGAGGGGGAAATTTATTTTTTTCACCCCCTAAAAAAGAAAAAGCCCGAAGTAAAAATATGAAAAACACCCCAGAAAAGCCCGATTTAAAAAATTTTTCCGATACGGAATTACAAGCCGAATTATTAAAGCGGAGTAAATGCCAATTTGGCCGTTCCAATTGTGCGGGTTATGGCGAATATTGATTAGTGAAAAGGCTCAACTTGACCGAAATTCAACGCAATCATATTTGTGCGTCCTGCTGGTTAGACATTCTGAAATTTAAGGAAAAGCCGGACGGCAAAGAATAAAAAAAGTCGTTGCGGGTTAGACCCTAAACAACCCGAAAAACCAAAATTTTAAAAAAATTATGAAAAATTACCCCGTTAAAGAATTTTTAAAAAAACATTCCAAACTACTTACGGCCAACACAGAGCGGGAAAGACGCATTTTAGAGTATAGAGATGTTATTTATTCCCGCATTATCGAGGAGATAAGAAAGTATTACCGAAGAGTGCAAAGTGGCGATTACCGCTACGACGGAATGCCCGAAATTAGTCGCGGTATTCGCGGTTGAATAGAAGCGAAAATTTGACGCTTATTAGTGGAAATTGGCGAACCCAACCATCCCCGATACAGCAGCAACCCCGACGATTATTGAGATGAACCCGAGTAAAGAAATCATGCCCGAAGAAAAAAGACTAATTTGTTCGCATTGCGGACGAGAGATAAAACCTGACTCCGAGGATTTTTGCGAGAAATGCGACGGAGATTTTCATTCTCATTGTCTCAAAAAAGCCTATGACCGAGGCGTGTGAGTAATGTCTTTCTGTCGTAAGTGTGTAACCTAGTAAAAGTCGTGCGGGTAGACTGAAAACAACCCGCAAAACAACATATGCCAAATCAAATATTTAACTGAATAAAAAATCACCCCAAAATAATCGCAGTGGCGATTAGTATTTTACTAATTTTGGCCTTCGTCCTAGTTTATTTTTGAAAAAACAGGCGAGAGAAATCTCCGCCCCTAAAACCAAATCCGGACGAACCTAACCCACCCGAGGAAAATTTTTCTCCGTCCGTAGTTGCCGAACCAGCCAAAAGACAAACCCCACCCCGCAACGCCCAAGGGCGATTTATTAAAAAAGTCGTAGCGGGTTTAGACCCTAAACATCCCGCAAAAACAACAAAAAAAATATGTTAGGATTAGAAACATTAAAAAAAATAGGTCAACAAGGCCGAAAAATTTATACCTGAATGGGAGATTATTTACTAATCTCCGTAGTCGCCGTAATCGGAATAATAATTTTATTTTTCCTTCTGCGTTTCCTCTGGCGACAAAGCACCAAAAAAAATTGTATTAAATGTGAAAAACACCATACCTCCGATAAATTTTGGATTAAAATTAGTCCTAATCTAGGTGTGTGTTATACCTGTATCATTCGTGGCCTTTTTGGAACAGGACCTGAACTGGTAAAAGAAATCGGTAAAAAATAAATTATGGTAGACGCTCAAAAATGATTAGACGAAAATTATCCGAATAAGAGGAGGGAAAAAATTTTAGAACTAAAAATTTGCCGAAACGACTTAGAGGGCGAATTAGACTTAAGTGATTTTGTTAATTTGGAAATATTAGATTGTTGTAATAACAAACTAAGCACCATAGATGTTAGCAAATGTATTCTTTTGTTTCAGATTGAGGTTGATGGAAACGAAGAATTGAAAAATTTGTATGTAAGCAATCTTTCAAAATTAAGATACATTTACTGCGACTATTCCTTTCTTTCCAATATCATAGGGTTAGAAAAAACTTCAATCATCCTCATTTGAAGCGAAAAAGGAAAATTAACCCAAGAACAAATTTCCAATCCGAAAGAAATCTGAAAAAATTTAAAAGGTGTGGCTAAAAAACATTTTCCCGAAATGGCTTTGATTAACATTTCAGACATAGATGAAATAGCCGAACAACTAAACAAGCAAACGGCCAACGACCCCGATTTTTTAAAAAAAACCTTTAAAATTAGCGAAAAAGAAGCCCAAAGAACGAAGGGGGATTTTTTTCTAATGTATTCAGAATTAGTCTCGCGAATTGTGGCCCGTTGCTGCATTATCGAAAATCGTTTTTGTGAGGGGAAAGATGAAAGTTGAGAAAAGGAATGAGAAAAAGCATTCAGCAACACAGAAAAAACTTTAGGTTTTCCGCTGGGTAAAGCAATGGAAGGAAAAAGAGTACTTACAATTCCTAACCGTAAAGAATTAATTAATAGAGTTTTAAATGGTGATTGGCAATTAATAGAAAAAGTAAAAGATTTGCCGTGAATTGAAAAAGTTTGAGAACAAACCAAAACCGAGGAAACACCGAAAATTAACGAACAGCCAACCCCGACCGACCCGCCTATTATCTCGGAACCAGAAAAAGCCCCTAGTTTTTGAAAAGACCCTGTTGGAGCCATATATCATCCCATTAAAACTAAATGCCACCAAGTTAACAATTGAGTTTCCGACCGCTTAACCGATATGGGAAGCATTTTCCTCGGCCTTATTATTCTAATACTTGGCCTTTGGTTAGCCTGAAAAATTTTCGTAAATTTCATTAGCAAAATTCTCAACAAAATTTTTGGTTAACAAAAAAAGAGCCAAAACCGACCTTGCCAACGCAGCCGAGTTTACCGGAAAGTGAGGAACGCATTTAAGTATTATTTTCGTCATCTACTTCCTCTACACTATCCTAAAAAAATCCTTTGACCTCTGGCAAGATAAACGCCGTGGACGAGCAATATTTTTTAACCTGCTTAATTAAGTCCTTTAAAAAGTGCCTTTTTCTCAATACTTTTGTTTTCCTCCCGTCGGGAAAAATTTCTGTGGTGTATTTTTACATAAAAAAATATTTCCTTGCGTTTGCTTGGCATTTTTGCTTACAAAACGATATAAAAGTTTAAGATATTAAGAGTATTACGGTATTACATAAATTATAAATATGCCAATAATTAACCTAGAAAAAAGAAGAGAATACAATCGGCTACAAGTGGCTATATTAAGAGCCAAAAAAGCCGGCAAAGATGCTAGCCAGTTATTATCACAAAGACAAAAGTTAATCAGCGAAAAGCCAAAGGAAAAGCGAGCCAGAAAAGAGAACCCTAAAACCCGCGAGAAAACTAATCGCAATTATTACCAAAAAAACCGGGTAAATTTACGAGCGGAAGCCCGGAGAAAGAAGCAAGAAAAGCAGGAGCAGGAGCAAGAAAAACGAGAACGAGAAATAAACGAACTTGCTACGAAATTTTACCAAGCCAATAGCATTAAAGTTTTAGCGAGTTTTAAAGAGTATACCGAATTAAAAAAGGGTAAAAAATTATGATTAGACCTTTCACGCATTCTCCGAGATTGTGCCGAAGGAGTGGGCGACATAATAAGCCTTATGCAACTACGAGAGGCTGCCGATAATCTTATTGACGATTATTGAGCCACGGCCAAAGGCAAGGTTAAAAAAGGTGAAAGTTGGAATACCCTTAAACCGGAACAACAACATCGTTTAATTAAGTATTGAGCCCGGGAAAAATTTTGCCAAGAACAAGGTTTAGCCGTGAAATTAGAATGACAAGAAAACCGAGGCCGAGAATGAGAACGAGCAATTGAGTTAGCCAAATTTCACGAGGAACGAGGTAAAAAAAGTTGTTCTTGTTATGATTGCCAAGAAAGAAAAACAATTCGTAAAGAAGTTAAACAGCAATACGACGAATACTGAAAAGAAAAGGAAAGTCCGGAAGAGAGAGAAGAAATAGAAAGTGAGTGTGCTAATTGTTATGAATATAAAAAAGTTAGCGTGGATAGTGGACTTTGCCGGAAATGTGAACGAGAGCAAGAGGAATAAACTTTTAGAAATTTACTAATGAATTTTCACTAAAAAAAAGGTGTAAACTTAGGTGTGAAATTAAAGGTGTAAAATAATAAATAATTCGCACCAAAAAAAATATTATGCCCATACCATACAGCAAAAGAAAAGAATATTTTCGCCAGAGGTGATTAGAAAGAAAGCAAGGTGTAAAGAGAGTAAACAGTTCACACCTTAAAAACGAGAAAGACTTTACACCTAAAATCAAACCAAAAATTAACCAAGTTTTAGAACTAATTCAGCAGGAAAAACGAGAAAGAATTTTACTCCGTTATGAAATTAGCGAAAGTATTAAAGAACTAAAAAAACAGTTAACCGCTTTAAAAGCACTAACCCACAATGAAACCAAGAGAAAAAGCACTTTATCAGCCAAGACCAAAGCCAAAACCAAGCAAAGAAAAAATTCTCTCTCGCCCGAAAGCCAAGAGAAGTTAAAAAGTTGGACTGCGGGGCTAGTTAAATATAGTAAAGAATGATGAAAAATTTATAATCAGTTGCCGGAACGAAAAACTAAACTAAAAATTTATCACCAGAAAAAGAAAAAAATATTATAACAAATTAAAAAATGATAGCAGTTAGAAGCGTTAATGAAACTAATATCTTGTTACGTTCTCTCTATGAAGGCTTCGCATTTTTTATTTTCTTTCATAGCAAGAAAAATCATCAAAATTATCATTAATTTTTGCTTCTTTTCTCTTTTCTTTAAAAATCTAAATGCCGAAAAGTCCGCGGAAAGGCGATTGTGTCCCGAATATTATTTCCTCCACTCAAAAGCATTATTAATCTTTCTAGTCCGAGTCCAAATCCACTACTGGGAGCATAACCGTATCTTCGTAAATCTAAATATCAACTTAAATTATCCACATCTAAACTCTTTTGATAAGCCTTATCAACTAAGATTTGGTAATTGTTTTCCCGTGCGCTTCCACCAATTAGTTCCCCAATTTCGGGAAAAATTAAGTCGAAACAAGCCACAGTTTTTCCATCCGGGTTGTTTTTCATATAAAAAGGCTTTAATTCTTGGGGATAGTTGAGGATAAAAATTGGTTGGTTGTCAAAATACTGACACAAATATTTTTCGTGTTCGGCTTGGAAATCCATACCCCAGAAAATATTATTCTGTTTAAAATTGTTTTTAACTTTTTCGAGTATTTTGAGGCCTTCCTCGTAACCAAGTGCTTGAAACTTAGTGTGTGAAATATTTTTTAACTTTGCGATTATTGATTTTTGCTGAAATTTTTCAAAGTGCTCTAATTCTTCTTTGTTATTAGCCAGAACATAATTTGTTGCGTATTTAACCATTTTTTCGGCTAAATTTGTAATTTTGGTTAAATCGGTTCAAGTTGCTTCGGCTTCAACCATTCAAAACTCGGCCAAATGCCGAGTAGTTTGGGAAGGGTCGGCCCGGAAACACGGACCAAAAGTGTAAACTCGGCCTAATCCTTGGGCTAAGGCTTCAGCATGGAGTTGTCCGCTGACTGTTAAATTGGCAGGAAGAGCAAAAAACGGTTCTTCCTCGTTAGTGCTAATGTTAAATAATCCTCCTGTTCCTTCGGTATCATTAGTAGTGATAATTGGGGTCGGAACGTAATAAAATCCTTCTTGGTGGAAAAAATCATGGACGGCTTTACTAATACTATGACGCAAACGAAAAATGGCCAGAAAATAATTAGTTTTAGTTCGTCGGTGAGGATGATTACGAATTACCTCTAGGGGAACATTTTTTTTCTGTAAAGAATGTTCTTCCTTAGAAGGGGGAGTTCGACCACAAATTAATTGAAATTGGTCTTTAATTCGGATAGTAGAATCACGGTGTTTTTGAAACTTTAAATCACCAATTTTTAAACATTTTTGCATTATCTTTTGGAGTCTATCTTGATATTGAATTTCGCTAGCGAATATTTGATCATAGACAACTTGAAATTTGGAGAGAATTTTCTTTTGTTCTTCAAGAGAAGGCAACAAAATGAGAAAGTCAGAAAGAACATTTTTAGTTAGCATAGGAACAGTGCTGCCCGCAACTAAATTGCTTATTTGACTTTCTTTACTTTGTAAGTAATAATAGAGAAATTGCGGAAGAACTAAGTCTAAGTTAGGTTCTAAGCAAATAATAGTGCTAGCAAGAGAACATCTGGCCATTCCTGGATAAAAAACCTTACCAATGGTTCCAACAGCAGTTAAAAGCAAAGAATTTTCAGTAGTTAGAGGTAATTTTCACTTGTTAACTATTTCAATAGATATTTTTTTCTCGGGATTTAAGTTTCCTACTTGAATGTCTTTAATTCGATAATAAGGTATTGTGCCATTTTCTCAATGAATTCGATTCTCTTTCCCTTTTATACTTCAATTAATTTCACAAATTTCTGCTAGTTTATAAATTTTTTTCTCGCTTTTAGTCATTTTTTAATTCCTTCTTTATTTCCGCCAGTAAATTTTTTAATTCTCGGTGGTATTTATCTTGTTCTTTGATTAATGCTTCTAGTTCGGCAGTAGTTTCCAGCAATTGCTTATCAATTTCTTCCGGAGTTAATTTTTCTTGCTCGTCTGGTAAATAACGACTGGGGGCTAAAACGAAGTTATTTTTTTCAATTTCTTCCCGAGAAACTATAACAGCCGGAATATTATTTTTTTTCAATTCGCCACTTTTCCAAAAAGTGCGATAAACTTCGCTAATTCTTTTAATATCTTCTTCGTTTAGTTTTCGTTCTTTGCTACTTGTTTTTTCTCCAAAATCATCTTGGGATACATCAATCATTAACACCTTACCAGTCTCACGACCTTTACGCAAAACTCAAACACAAGGAGCAATAGAAGTAGTGTAAAAAAGTTTGTTTGGTAGAGTAATAATGGCCTCTACTAAATTATCATTTAGCCATTTTTGCCGCATTTCTACATCTCTCCTATTTAAACTAGACAAAGTAATATTAGCCATAATTACTGCCCCAACCCCTTGTGGTTTTAATTTGTGAATAATGTGAGAAATTCAACCGTAATTGCTATTTTTTTTACAAAATCCGTATTTCTGCCAACGAATATCTCCTTCGGTCATTCCATTGTGAGCCTGATTAAAAGGAGGATTGGCTAAAATGAAATCGGCTTGCTGGTCCGGAAACTTATCTTCAAACAAAGTGTCCCCTTGTTCTAAACGAAAACTAGTAATGCCTTCGAGGATTAGTTGTCTCTTGGCTAAGCGGAGAGTGTCGGGAATTCTCTCCTGGCCCAAACAAAATATTTCCCCACCATTCTTTTTAATGTCTTGAATAAATGCTTTGCTTTGCACAAGCATTCCTCCCGAGCCGCAGCAGGGGTCGTAAACGACCGATTTTTCGCGTGGTTTTATTAGATTAACTAATAGTTGAACCACACGAAGGGGTGTGTAAAACTCTCCGCCGCTTTTTCCTCCCGCCGCAGCAAAACGATGTAAAAAAAACTGATAGACGCTACCAAAAAAATCATAATCTCAATTGTGTTCTTGAAATATCTCATCGAGTTCAATGATTACTGACTGTAAATCGTGATCGGTTAGATCTTGGTTCCTAAAATGTTCTTTACAAGTTAAATCTTGTAAGGAAACTTTTTCCATTTTGACTTCTTCAACGGCTTGTAAGGCTTGATAAACATGAGATTTAGTATTCTGAGGCTCTTCTTGAACACGTTTTAAAATATTCTTTCATTGACTTTGGGGTGGCAAATCTAAGGTTAGATAAATGGGGTCCTTGTAAACATCATAAGTGGGCCGATTTTTTTCTTCTTTTTCATATCGGACGGAAACAGCTAGCAAAAAAATCAGATCCGGCACGATATAGCGTAAAATGTCAATATTACCATTGCCCCTCCGCTTATCTAGTAATTTTCATAATTTAGGGAAAATTTCGCTATTTTGGGTCATACTTTTCTTCTATTACTTTTATTCATTTTTCAATTCTTTTGATTCTTGGGTCGGCAAAAAAGGTGAATTCTTCGTCAGATTTTTCGTAAAAGGCAAACAATATTTTCTCTTCATTTAGTTGTTTTTCGCCTCGTAGTTGCTGATAAAAATCCTGGAAATCCTGAGCCATTTTTCAGTAAAAGAAACAAATTACATAAGCAAATTTTTTATTAATCTCTTTTCCTGTTCTTTGTCAATCTTGTTCTATTGATTGCTCCCGGTTTAATTGTTGTTCCAAAATTTCTTTTTTATGGTGAGAATAATAATTTCAACTTCAATTTTTCACCTCCACAAAATAAATCATTGTGCTAGTTTCAGCATAAATGTCAATTTGTAAGTTAGGAATTTCTTCTCAATTTTTTACCAATTTTAAGAAAGGAATTTGACTTTCTACTAATAAGTCATAAACCTTTTCTTCTCCTTCTTCACCAATTTTTTCTTCTCTTTTTTGAGCAGAAAGCGAAGAAGTGGCTTTTAAAAAATCAACCTTACTAGCCCTAATTTCTACCAGTTTCGGGTCAATTTTGAGGAGAAACTGAGAAATTTTTTCGCGATCAGAAGAACAAAGATATAACTTTTTTTTGGCTCGGGTTACTCCGACATAAAAAATTCTGGCTTCTTCGAGTTCTTCTTCCGCATTTTTAGTATTTTTTCTAGGCAAAATTTCTTCGTTAACATCTACTAAGAAAACATGGTCAAATTCCAAACCTTTGCTTCCGTGAATGGTAGAAAGGATAATTTTTCCTATTTTATCCTCCGAATTGTTAACTAGAAAACTGCGGAAAACAAGTTCTTCTAGATCCCACACAAATCTCCTTACTTGGAGGGGAGTAAGTTTATCCCCCTTTTTTCATAATTGTCGCTCGATTTTAATTTTATCATCGTATTCTTCCACAAAATCAACCATATCCGGATCAATTAAAGAAACATTTAATTTTTCCAGTAAATCTTTCACGCTAACAAATTCACCCGCTTTTTCCTCTGCTTTCAAAAATTTTAATTTTCTTATTATTTCTACTCCCTCATCATCTTTGTTCCTAAGGTGTATAAAATTAATGCTTTTATTTCTTAGTTCATCGGCTATTTGCTTGCCCGAATCATTATTTCGATAAAGAATGGCTTTTCTCACTGGTTCTCGAATTTGGTCGATTTGTTCTACCACAAAATCTATTTGTTTTTGACTGTCTTCACCAAAAAAAATTACCGGTTTTTCTCCCAGTTCTCTGGATTTTAAATCCGTGTAATGCCATGCTCAGAGAAACTTCTGAGAAAAATTATTAGCTACCGCAACAATTTCTTGGTGAGAACGAAAACTCTCTGTGACATTTTTTTGGATATTATTTGGAAAAAGGTTTTTAATGGCTTCAAAGATGCCACTTTTTGCCCCCCGAAATTCGTAAATAGTTTGTTTAGGATCACCCACAAAGGTCAGAGTGGTGTGAGGCAAACAAAGCAATTTTATCATTCGTAGTTGAAACTCATCCAAGTCTTGACTTTCGTCAACTAGAATATGATCAAAAACTTGCCAACTTTTTTTTAGTTCCTCATCTTTTTCCAAAAAAATAGTTATGTTTTTAACCATGTCGTCAAAAAATAACCAAAATTTTTTTCTTTGATCACTAATAAAAAACTCTTTGATTGGTTCATACAAGTCGAGACGACCAGATTCTTCTAAAACTGAGTGGATTTCCCGTAAATATTCATCATAAACGATTTTTTGGTGGATGAGTGGTTTTATTTCTTTACTGACTTCCAATTTTTTTCATATACCCCTCTCAATTATTAATTTTTTCCTTAACTCCACGCTAACATCGTTACTTTTCTTGTTTAAAACATACTTGCAGAGATTATTCAAAATTCTAAATCTTAATCCATTAGTCAGCTTTCCTGAATAACTTTGCTTTTTATCCTTAGTGTGTTCGACAAAATTAGTGGCAAAATCAGTTAATAAAGGGAAAAAATATTCTTTAGTTCCTTCTTCAAAAAAAATTTCAAAACTCTCTTTACCAGAAATTTTTTCCTGTTCTTCACTGAAAATCAAATGACACAAAGAGTGGAAAGTGCGGTTCATTATTTGACAAGGCAGAAAATTATTTCTTTTCGAGAATTGGCTGTTTTTTTGAAGAAAAGCTGCATTCTTACTAATGATTAATTTCAGTTTTCGCCAAATATCTACCGAAATGTTTCTATTAAAAGTTAGAACCAAAATGAGTTGCCGTTGATTAAGATTTTGTTCCACAATAAATCTCATCCGCTCCTTAATAATTTCGGTTTTTCCGGTGCCTGGCCCAGCATTAACAATTAGAACCTGTTGGCTGAGCGGAAAGTTAACACATTCTCTTTGTTCGGCAGTCAACCGCATAACCGCATTAGACATAAAAATTTTTTCGGATAAAGTTAATTATATTTTTCCGTATTTCTTCTCATTCTTGGAAAGTGCTGGGATAGAGTAGTTCAAATGACTCAAAACAGATTTTATCAACCATTTTTTTTAATTCTCTGGCTCCATGAGTTTCACCAAGTAAAAACCAATCCGGATCATCATGAAATTTCTCAGAAAAAACTTTTACCATTTCTTCGAAAAAGCCACTCAATTTGGT